GACGTCGTATCAAATCTCGTGCGTCTTGTGTGAGGTAAGCAGGTAACATGAGTTTTCCTTTTAATATTTTCTCTATTGTTTTAGTGCGATTATCACCAGTAAATGGTGGCTGAAATGATTTATAAACAAACTAAATTATGGTTTACCTACTAACCGTTTTGTTGATAATTTGTGGTGAATTTAACAGAATTCCTTCATGATTTAGAATTTACATCTATTTAGTACAAAACAAAATTTACATACCTGACCAATCAGCATGTCATACATTAAAGCACCTAAACTCCACCAGTCTACAGCTTTCCCATGGCCACTTCTTGTTAATATTTCTGGCGCCCTTGAGAGTTAAATTTAAATATAGAAATCATTTCATATAAACTATATGCATGTTGAAATAAAAAAAATTACTTACATATATTCAATTGTACCGCAAAATGTATGTGTAACAATACCTTCTTGTATATGTTCTTTACATAAGCCAAAATCAGTGAGTTTTACATGACCCTGTGCATCTAGTAAAACATTCTCTGGTTTGAGGTCACGATAAATTATACCCAAGCTATGTAAATGTTCTAGTGCCAAAATTATTTCTGATAAATAAAAGCTGAAAAAAAAACATATTGACATTTAGATTTAAAATTTGTAGTAATTTTCTGGCAAATATTATATTAAAATATTTACAGTGTTACATTAAAATATTTAACATTGAAAAAAATCTACTACAAGTGAAAAAAATACTTATGTAATTATTAAAACTGACAACCTAGTAAGTCTAACTTTAACTTCTAGATTTTTCAAATGTTAGTTTTATAATTAGCCCCTATCTAAAATAATACACAATTATAATAATCTTTATCAATCATATCTTGTATATAAAACCAAAAAATTACATATGTCCACTTTAGTCCAAAACTACTGTATGTTTTTTTTTATATTTTGGTAAAATGTTAAACCAAAAAAAAAAGTACATTACTTACCAAGCTGTGTCTTCAAGAAAAATACCTTCTCTCTCCAGATGCATAAAAAGTTCTCCACCACTTAAATACTCTAAAATTAAATACAGTTTTCCACCAGTTTGGAAAGCATATACTAATTCAACTATAAATGGATGCTGAAAATTAAAATACTATTTGATCAACTTAATTAACTTAAACATAGTACAAGTGTAACACAATTAATTTGATTAAGTGAAGTTGATTTGTTAAATTGCAATATAATCTTACCTTAACAGCTTCTAGAATATTTCGTTCTGCTTTAGTGTGTGCAGTATCTTTCTGATTACGGACTATAGAAGCTTTCTTAAGAACCTTCATCGCAAAATGAGCACCTGCATCAGGACCTGTGATTTTTCGTACTTGAAATACTTTGCCATAGCCACCTTTTCCTAACACTTTTCTTAGTTCGAAATCTTGGGGTCCTAGACGCTTGCACTGGCCTGGATTCACATTATCTTCTGACAGCTGTATAGTTTCTGAACACTCAGATCTATAAAAAATAATAAAAAAAAATTATATAGTAAATTGAAATGTCATTATATTCTAAAAAAAGAATTAAATACTCACTCAGCTATATTATTCACATTAAGTTCGGGATCATAATCGACCTGCGCAAAAATATTTAATTTTTTTATATGTGACATGTAATAACATGAGATTTTAAATGTGAATAAGATGTTTTGTGATTTACAACTAAAAAGTTTACTTGTAAAATTATCATAACTATTAGATTTTTTAAACTCAAATGTAAATTAAATCGAAGCCCTTGAACATTGGATTCGAAATATACGACACGATAAATGTTAGGTTATGGAATGGTGTCAACGATTTTCTAAAGAAAGGAAGATAACATAAATACCTCATCAACTTCAATAATATCGTCTTCGTCAGAATCTCCAACAGTAACTGTATCAACATCCAAATCTAAATCGAAAACACCTGCCATATACGATGACATTTCAGTAATATCACATCAGCAATACAACTGTAGCTGTTAGCACAGTCA